ATGGCAACCTGAACTTATGTACTTGTGCACGAAGTCCTACGTTGTAACTGACTGACTGATATACAGCGGAGCAAATTTGAAATTTCTTCAAATAACATTGTTTCTGCTCTAATCCAAATGAAAAAAAACTATATGAATGAGTGAATATTTCAAAGAAATCTTTGAAGAATGTATAAGTTGCTAAATTAGTTGAACTGTGTGTGGTAAATACCGACTGGAATTTCAATAAAAAGAAATCATAAAGAAAGCGTCAAATTTAAATATCTGATATACACATAAATCAGGCAGTAATGTCATTTTGCTTCTCTTCGCATTTACTCTATCCAGTCAAATGAATTAGTGAACTTGATTTAAAATAACTGAATGCAATCGAAACATTTACTTACACACAAAGATTGACTTGTCATATAAAGACAAGCTTATCAGTTTAACTGATCAATAATGGAATCAAATCGGTTTAGTTGACAGACGTCTGTACATTATAAAAGTCGGGTTTTTTTTGAAAAAATAAATAAATAATTTAAATCAATAATAATGGAGTAGAATTAAGCAATGAAATTATGATATGATTAATCAAAGTAGAACAACATATATATATATATAGACGAACAATATTGTTTTCAATTAGTTCTTCAGGTTTTACTCTAATATGCAGTGATATCTAAATGCAGTTACCTGTGCTTACTAGTAACTAGCTCCGTGAGGAATCTTCTTAGAGTTCTAGTGAGAAGTCGTGACAAGAGGAGTTCAACCCTGTCCGGGTGTAGACAGTAACTATCGAAGACAGTGTACGAGGTGAATTGATTGAAGTTAGACATTGACATCGTCAGATACCAGCTCAGTGGCCTAGAGGTTATGCATTCACGCGCAAGACTGAAGGTCCTGGGTTTGGATCCTGAGAGGAACAGGAGTCGTGGATGCGCACTTCTGATGAGTCCTGTACGATCATGAAACGGCCGTCCAGTGCTTATAGATTTCTAATGGCGGTCTAACATTGATCGATTCATCATTTCAATTTATGAAATTATTCAGTCAATCAAGGGAATTTATGAGTCAGTAATAACAGTGAAATAAAAAATACAGACTGATTGAGTAATCACAAGTGTATTTGTTATGATAAGAGTAACAAATAACTTCAATTAATGTTAAATAATAAGGAGTAGATCAAACGGTCTGGAAAAGCGGACACTGTAATAACATTCATTAGAATTATAGATTGTGTAATAAGCAGTATTCAGACAAGTGAATATTCAGGATTACATTCAGAGAGAAAAACGTGGTGCAGATGGTGGGGGGGGGGAGAAATTTATGCGAGGAGACAAAGATTGTAGAAAACAATCATGATAAGTAAATAAATAAAATCCTTGTTCGTGTGTGAGGGAGTTGAAAACCAGTTAGTTGGAACGGCTGTTGGTTATGCCTTTCTGGGTGGCTCGGTAACCCGTACTGGGTGCCAGGTGAAGTTGTGTTTACCCGCCTTGCCGCCCTTACCGATTGGGAACTGTGAGTAGCGGTCTGGTTGGAGTAATCGAGTAGATTCATAATCACCTATGTAGGGGTGACTTTTCGAGCCTACACTGACGTTCATGAGAATCTAGACGACCTATTCGTGCCGTCTTGGGCAAAGAGAATCATATAACGGCAATTGTGTGAACCTCTGTGATATATAAAATCAGCATACATGCATTTGCTGCAGGCATGTTGACTGACCATGAGTTGAATAAATGAAATCATTTTTTTGTGGCGAATTCGACCAAGAAAGAGATAGAGGTGTTACAAATTTCCCATGAACACGAAATACTTGGATTCTTTGTTCAAATCCTTATAGCTTCTGCTGCGTGTAAGAGACGAGATCAAACCCCATGAAGAAAATCAATAGGTATATTATAAATTACCTTAACTAATTCATCTGTATCTACTATACTACCATTATCGACTAAGTACGACAGAAAAGACTATTTCCTCTTCTAACTTCGAAGGAAAGTGTTCGCTAACTCAGCTATCTAGTTATACGCCCAATATAAATTTCTCCACATTAGCAGCCTAAGTCATAGATATACATAGATGTGTCAAATCCAGGTAACTTATACTCTAGTTGAGGAATCAACATAGGTCGCCCAAAAAACGACAGATACATTTCAGCTGCATTTAAATAGGTTATCAGTCTATAGTGATTCATAAATGTAGAAGTATTTATATTTATATTAAAATTACTAGTCAATATTTAGGGCAGCTTTAGTTTATGATGAATGTTCTTTATATCTAAAGTTTTTTGAAGTATACACAAATGATCTCCAGAAGTGATATTACTCATTACTTCAAATTGGAAATTCGAAACCAGTCAAAGTTGATTATTACACTTAAAAAAAATGTTAAGAACATTAATTTTGTATACATCAACCGGTATTTGATGTAATGCTCTAAAACATATATCAGTTAACTATGCTAAACTAGATGTTTTAATACGGGTGAACTTAGTTGTAGTTTCTGTCAAGAGACATGTAAATAACATATAACTAATGATTTGCTAATGGTTTACTTTACCGACTGACTTCAGTTAGATAAACACTAATATCAGAAAGCGATGAACAGCTGTTTCGCACTAGTATGTGACTACTTAGCTACATGCTCCTACCAAAGATCGAAATAATGATCGTCAGGTACAGTGGTTGATTGTTTAACATATAGATCATGGATTCGCTAACATGTGGTTTACAATTTGAACTCGCGTTAGTTTGGACTGTTTTGCAACCATTACCGTGTTTCATCTGTAATATTCGTCACACAAACGAGCTGATAAGAATTCAAATGTACACTATTGAGTAATCCTATAGTAAGAAGACTAACTAAAGTCAGTTTATGATGTAAACTACTGATTCAATAATCTTCACAACTGTCCTACGTTGACAGTAATTTACATTGCTTTTTCTCATGAAGTAAATTTATATTTGTATTAAGGTGTACATGAGTTCCATACTCATAGCATTCAAGTATTCTAAATATTTGTACATGAAATGTCATAAGGTCAAATTCAACGAGAAAATTTCAAACGATAATTAATCATAGTCACATCAGTGCAATAACATTTAAAACTACGGAATAAAGTTAAGCAGCATATAGACAAATCAATAAGGTATATTATTTGCTGAAATAATATTCACAATAAACTATAACTTGAACAAATCAAAATAAATGTGCTCATTAGTGATTAACTTGAAGAGGAGAGATTTGGAGTTCTAGTGAAAAGTCAGTAATGGAGTTAAACCGTATTCGGTATAAGTTAGATTTTATGGATTGACTGAATTTAATCTCATACACTACTGAATATCGGCTCATTAATTTATAGATTAAGTGTTCGTATCGGAAGCTGTTGTGTCTGGTTTAATTGTTTCAACTTGTCTCCTTTTTGATCAACGCTCGACATGTTGACATTTCGTATTATATAGCTGGTTACTTAAATATTCCACTAATACAGTATTTACGATAGCTTGTCAAATGAAGATTGTGTTGATTCTTTTTTCCACTTCAAAGAGCTTACATCATTTAAAAACGAAGTTATGCTATACACTGATTATTTTCATTGTTAATTACAAATAAAAGACTAAGAAAGACAGTCTTAGTTGATTTAACAAGTTGTTGGCTTTGTAGTGTATCTATAAGATATATATATATATATATATATATATATATATATTCATTTACAGTGAATTTTTAAGTTTGAAAAAAGAGTCAAACGACTGAGTTTATATCGTGCGTTGATTTATGTATTCAAGAGATTATAGAAGGGACTGTTCTTCGTAAATTTTAATAATAGTTTGACATTGGTGGATTTTGTCTCAGGTTATTTATCAGTACTGTGATGATGAAAGTTCTATGATAATTATTTTTAACAATATTGGAAATTCGAGGCTGAAAGTTGTTTACATAGTCACACATACGATAAATGTATGAAAACATTTGGTGATTTTGTTTCCAGTGAGCTAAGTAGTCTGATCGCATTACTTTTATCATCCTTCTAGATAACATCTTTAATACGTGTTTCATAAAGTAGTGAACTTTTCAAGTATTTCAAAAGTGTTATATCGGCTTATTCCGATGACTTTGTGATTGGCTATCCTTAAAAGTTTAGTTAATATTTGTTTGACTTAACATTTACGTTGATTGTCTAAATCAACTAACAACTGGGACTATGATTGAATGAGCTCTTTTTGTACGTTTTAATAGATTAGGTCTATGTCGACGTGTTAGTTGATTGCTAGTTGATCTGAACGGCATTCCATGTACGTAAACATAATTTGATTTGTTAATGTGATATGAGTTTCTTTTAATATGCTGTAAAATTATCCACTTGTCATCATGATCGATCAAGGAGTATGAGTTGCACTTTAAATAAATTTTAAATAGTTATGTATAAAGAAATAAAGACAAAGTTGTTGGTATTTCATCTTTAAACCGTTTGCAGTACAATGGCGATTTCGGATTACAGGGTTATGGAGACTGTTGAGTTACTCTGAAATCATGAGTCAGTCAAGGCTAGACCACCATTAGAAACCTGGGAGCAATGGATGGCTGTTTCGTCCTGGTATGGGACTCATCAGCAGAACCTATCCACGACCTCCGGTCGCGAGAATCAAACCTAGGACCTTCGTTCTTGCACACGATCGCTTGACCTTTGAACTACTGGATATTTACAAACAACAGATTTTGTATGACTTATTGAGAATTTTATTTAAAACCCTTAACACCAAATAAAATTCAACAAGACTAATTGGTCTTTCGCCTTCTTGAACTCAATTGTAGATATTTCTCGCTTCAGTCAACACTACTTTTATCCGTCTGTTTTTAAATTAATTAAATATATTGTAATAAATATGAAAAAAATTCCACAAAAGAGAATTCCTTTGCAACCAATCAAATAACAGATAATTACATCAATCTATGATTGGTCAACTAATCCAATGATCAGTTTTATCTCATATAATAATTATTTTCATTGTAATCAGTAAACTATGCACATTTTACACGGATTAATTTTATTCAATTATCAACTTTAATTTTCTTTAAAATGATTATACAAAAAACAGATTAACATTGGGACCAATGCGAATCATGACTAGTAGGCAGTTGTGCCTTTCACTCCCAGAATCTTATCAAATTAATAGTTTAAAATTTATTTATTTAACATGTGCCACAGTGATTACAACAACATTCATTGTAGAATGTATATTAATTCATTTAGTTGTACAACCATATTTTCATGAATCTGCATTTACACATACAAATTGTAGTTTTGTTCATGCACATATTGTACGGACTGATGTAAAATGTGAGAATAAATGTTCTAAAGATCGTTCGAAATTTCCATGTTTACGTGTGATTGTACAATATTTAAGTGGAAATAAAAATCATACAGTGATATTATTTGATAATATTGCAACTTATAATCATTATAAATTTCTTGGAGTAAGTTAATTTATATTATCGATAAATAAATTTATACATACATTTTTGAAACAATGAATCGATCAATGTTAGACCACCATTAGAAACCTGCAAGAAGCACTGAAAGACGGCCGTTTCGTCCTAGTGTATGGGACTGCTCATCAGCAGTGCGCATCCACGACTCCTGCACCCCGCAGGATTCGAACACAGGACCTTCGGTATTGTAGGCGAACGACAAACCATCGGACCACTGAGCCGGTGGTATCTAACGCTGTTATTGTCTAACTTGATTAATTCACGCAGTTGCGCAAACTCATACACAGTTACTGTCTACACCCGAACAGGTCGAACTTCACTGATCACGTCTTCCCACCACTAGAACTCGGAGAAGATTCTCACGAAGCTAGTCACTAGTGAGCACGGGTAAATTGCATTACGGGGTTGTGAAGATTGTTAAGTCACACATTTTTGAAACCATGAACCGATCAATGTTAGACCACCCTTAGAAACCTGGAAGCCTACAATACCGAAGGTCCTGGGTTCGAATACTGCGGGGTGCAGGAGTCGTGGATGCGCACTGCTGAGGAGTCCCATACCAGGACAAAATGGCCGTCATTCAGTGCTTCCAGGTTTCTAATGGTGGTCTAACATTGATCGATTCATGGTTTCAAAAATATTATACTTTTGTTACTGATATTCATTTAGAAATATAACTTATTTCGTTATTTATTTAAATCAGGATTGGTAATAGATTTTGATTTGGTTAGTTGAGCTTCTTCGTGTAGACGACGTTACTTGAAATTTTTAATAAATTCGACCCTGTGAAATTACATCATAGTTTCTCATCTTCAATATTTTATGTTTTAACATGGTTTGAATTATATGTTCTACTTAGCGGCTTTTAAGAAAGTTTATGTTCTATGGTGTCACTAACCTCATAAACAACCCTCCTTCTTTGTCCGGGTTAGGGACCGGTAGTAACCCCAGAGGGGCTCCCTCTGGAGTTTACTTTCACACGTGGAATCATTATGTGTACCTAAATGTTTCATGAGAGAAAATACAGATTTAACGATGATTAGGTCACAAACATTGTAAACACAATTGGATAGTGGCTAACAGTAGAATCCAGGAATTATGTTTCACTCAATTTTATGACTTATCAGCTAGATATGACTTAACGACACTATCCAAATAGTACGCACAAAATTCACATATTAGCGATAAAAGAAGTTGATCATTTGCAATTTTAAAACATCAGCGGGAAAATTCAATCAACCAATAATAATACAAATGAACCGGTAATATTTACTTTAAGATTATGTTTAAAAAAAGAGGTTTCAGATAATGAAATCTACAAACATTCATAAAAAATAGATATTGACATCTTTTTATGTATGTTGATTATGATAATGGTTATCAAAATAAGAGATATTAAATGAAAGAAACCGAAATAACATAAAACAAAATGTTACATTTCTCGGTTACAATCAAAACACTTTTTTTAATTGATATTGTGAATCATTGAATGTATACTGTAAGAAAGCAATTGAAGAGAAGAATGTCAGTTACTTTATAATTACCGCGTAAAATGAATGTGTTTTTTTGTTTCATATCATTTGAATATGCCAAGTCAACAGTTATAATTGTTGACTTCTGATAAAATCAAAAAGATTATTTTTATGAGGAAAACCAGATATTTCCCTTACCTAATGATAACCGACTATACCTTAAAGAGAATTTATTGAACTTTGAAACATTGGCGGCAATAAACTGTTGGTCACTACAGTAAAATGAAAAACCTAATTGTGAGAATCTTGAATATTGATCAAGAATGTCTGTGAAAGACTATTAACCATGAAAATTGATTACATTACATGATAAGAAAAATTGTTTGAACTGAAACAAGATTTAATCAAGAGAGATTGTGAACCTAAAGTAGGGGTAAAAAGTTAGTATTACAGAAAAGAAGAAACGAGGCTGGTGGCAGCGAAACCATAGAATTCTAGCTTCTGTCCGCTGTGTGATCGTCTATGTACACTGCATAAGAGTCCTATACTAGGATAAGGTAGATGTCAAGTGCTCACAAGGTTTTGATGATTGCCTAACTACTAGGAACTCGTTATCTTAATCATATTTCACTATCTCCACTAATCCACATACTGACTAAAATTTTTTGTTCAAGTGAGAATGATCATTGAAACAAAGTAAAATCGTTTAGTGGTCCGATGGTTTGAAGTTTGCGTACAATACCGAAGGTCCTGGGTTCGAATCCTGCGGTTACGGTTAGTAGTCGTGGATGCGCATTGCTGAGGAGTCCCATACCAGGACGAAACAGCAGTCCAGTGCTTCCAGGTTTCTAATGGTGGTCTAACATTGATCAATTCATGGTTTCAAAAATGTGTAACTTAACAATCTTCACAACCCCGTAATGCGAATTGATTTATCGCGCTCATTCATTTCATTCTCAATGTCATACATTCGTAAATCTATTACAAATTTTATAACATTGATTGAAACTATTCGGTTTTAGTCACGATACGTTTTTGTCTAAGATTGTACCTACTAGGCAAAAACAAAAGAATCAAAGTACGAACCATATGGTTACAAAGCAAACTTATTATTTTTTCCAAACTTCCTAATTCAGCATCTAATTTGGCGTATGTGTAGGTATCGTTACCAAAGTTAAACTTGATAATTGTATATAACTGCTTATTGTTTTTGACTGACCCTTTGTAAATCATGCTAGGAGATGTTCAATACTCATTCATTGGTTAATTTACCTAGTAATACGCTCGATAAAGCTATCTCCACAGGAGCAGCTGAATTTGTAAATGCACATAGAGGAGGCCAACTCAGGTAACTTATCCTTCGTTTGGGTAGATATCGCTTGTCGACTTCAGAAGGTCAACACGCAAGTTTGGCAACTAAACCACCGAATGAGTAGTGAACATCTCCTAGCATAGTTTACAAATAGTCAGTCAAAAACAATACGCAATTCTATCTTTGCACACCTGACTGATGATTGTATGTAAGCTAGGCATTGAAGAGAAAGTTGATAGTAATGAAATAATTAAAATTATAATATTATAATATTCCAAAAAGTTAAAATATTTTATTTCGGATTGTTCGTGACTTGTTGCGAGACATTTCTCCAGAGAAAATGTTTGAAATAGTTGAGATATTGCCAAAAAATTATAATTACACAGGATGTACTTTTTGTACGCTTTTGTCTTTACGCTATTCTATTCAACAAATTATTTTTATCAACACGAAAAATATTGTAGAATATTATTATGCAAATCTGTGAGTGCATTTTTTTCCACACAGAAATCGCTGAAAACTTTATACTTAGTAAAAAATTCTGCGCCTTATCACATATGATTCCCGAATTTATATGATAAATTGTATCCTACATAACTAGTATTTCGTGTTGTAAATATCTTTACAAGACGTGACATTTTGTTTATAGGTTCAAGTAGATATATTTCAAAGTTTACACCTCATAATTAAAAACTAACTACACTCATTATAATTTGTAAAACTAAAGTGTAAATAATAATAATAAGAATTTAACTTTCGAGACTATTTTAAACATTTATTTTGTACAATTCTTATTACCAACTCACATGTAATTGCGGAGAAAGTTACTTAGGGAGGACAGATCGCCGATTGGAAGACAGGATAGGGGAACATATTCCAAAATGGCTAATCAAATCCATGATTCATCAACCTAGCCCGTCATCTCAAAATCGATCAAGAAACCCAACCTCGTCCATCGCAAAACACCTAATGATGAGTGGTCATCAAATTGACCCAAAATCAGCCTTTAGAGTTGTGAGATGTCATCAAAACCCACACACACTGAAACTACTCGAAGCTATCTTGATTGGTCGGAAAAGACCAACTCAACTTTATGTGTTCAAAAACAACTGTATATTGACCTTTGTTTACCATGGTTCTAGTGAGTGAATGTCATGCGAATTAATAAATTTTGACCTTATCTTCAAAACTGTATTTACACAGATAACACGCTGCTTGTATGTGACTGACGAGAAAACACGAAATGGTACTATCACACTAAATATGTCTTCTTATTTCTCTATTCAATTCTTATTAAATAATTCAATTAAAATATTTCCATATATTTTTTGTAGTGTGAACTTCCGTCAAAATTATTGATTATGACTTGTAGTATGTTTTTTTTTTGGTTAAGAATATTTTATTTCATTCATATTTTATAAATTTTCCTACTACTACTACTATCTGTTCACCTCCTCCTATCTTCCTACTATCCACTGGTACTTTTGCCTTTTTTCATTTCATTATGATTATTGACTCTCAAATTGCCTTGATTGGTTTAACATTTTCATATGTAAATATTCATGTATATTAGAGAGTATAAAGCCTGATGACGACGATCTAATCGAAAACAGTAATATTGTTCGCTTATATATGTGTTGTTCTTATTTCATTCTGTCTGATGGTCTGTAAAATATGATTTCCTACTTTAAAGTGTGTAGTGGTCAGATAATTTATGCCAATGAAATCATGAGTACTTGAAATTCAGATAAAATAGAATCCTACCTGTGACATTCTATTATTCGAACTGATTACCTGAAGTGTGTGTTGCTTGAACCAATAAGAGTCAAATTTATCTTCCTAACCTTGACTAAAGTTTAATCCTTGCTAGCCTGTGATTGGTCAGAACTTAGGACGCGTCAGTTTAAAAACACCTGAAAGTATACCTAAACTCTTGTATATTATAATTCCGAATTTTCACAAATGAATTTTTTTCTAGTGATACATATCCAAATTTCAATTTATACCGGTCACTTTAAATAAATGCATTTATCTCCCGGAAAAAATTATTGCGAATAAAACACATAAACGATAATCGTCTATTAACAAAAAAATCTAATATTTTATTCATTAATTTTTTTTCTCACTCCTTGTCTCCAACCATTTAAGTTATTCCTTCCTTTTTCTTTGTCCACAATTACTCTTTTCAGTGAGAGAGCGCT